GCACAACCCCCCGCGTGTGTGTGTGTCTGTGTGTGTGTGTGTGTGTGTGTGTGTGTGTGTGTGTGTGCACACTCCCCCGCGGGTCTGTGTTTTCACTGCACTTTCCTGTTGGTTTTCAGCTGCCCGCCAGTTCCGGGGAGGGCCCTGGACCCGCGGCTGCCCCCGCCCCCCCTTCATAAAGCCCGGTCGGCCTTGGGACACCCGCGCAGCTGCCCCGCCCGGAGAGCTTGGACGGACGGCCCCTCTTCGGCTGGACGGCCGGGCCCCTCTTCGACTTCTCCTGGCAGTGGCTCACGCCATGGGAGGCCCCTACTGCGGCAGATCCCTTGTCCATCTTGGTGAGCATTCTGGGGCCCCGCCAAGAGGGAAGGAGTCCCGGGCAGCACCCCTTGGCACCGCAGCCACCACATTCCCTGTGAAGAAGTGGGAGGTGCGGCTGGCAGCTCTGAGGCCTGCGGCAGAGGAAGCCACATGGTAAGGCAGGCACCGCGGGCACATGAGGAGAGGGGCTGGCAGTGCCCGGGCACCCCCATGCCCTGGCAGGACTCCCCAAGGTTCCCTGAGAGCACGCGCCCACTCCCAGGAGCTCTCTGAGCTCTCTACTGGGGATACTTTGGAGGAGCTCCCTAAGAGGAGAAACTGAGGCATGGGGGAAGTGAGGGGGCAAGAAATGAGTGCTGGTACCCCACAGGCAGCTGCTCTTAACATAGGGCAAGGGGTGTCAGGAGCTGGGAGCCGGGACCCCATGTCACCCCTCTCCCCCACCCCTTCTCTGAGGTATGGGGACCCCAGAAACTGCCATTCTTCCCCCACTTCAGACCCGGGCCCAGGTCTACTCTGTGAGTTGAAGGGATCCTGCCAGCTGCCCGCTGCTGGTTTGAACTTGACTTTCGCTGTGACTTCCCCGGGACTCCCTTCCCGCCCCACCCAGGGTGGCTCTAACGGTTATCAGGCCACTGGTTGCCTTAGCAACCAGGCAACAGAGAGTGAAGAAATGGCATTTGGGGTGTCATCTGGAGTTTTCCCCCAGCCACGGGATGGGGAAGCCCTGGGCTGGCCCGGCGTGCAGGCCTGAGTGCAGTGCCCCCACCCTACCCCCGCTCAAATCAGGAGACAGGATTCCAAACGGGGGCCCGTGCATCACTGGGGCCAAGTCACAGAGCCCCTGAGCCTCCATACATCGATAAAAAGGGGAAAAAATCTGTCTCCACTTAATAGAGTTGGGTTAAGGGTTGTATGTGTTTGTACACAAACTATTACTGGTTCGCAGTAAGTATTAAGCAAACTATTATCATTATTTCCTTCTGTAGCTCTGGGAGGACGCATGTTCTTAGCCTGGGAAATATTGCAATTTTACCTCACCTTCCTATTACTATTTCCCTCTGGGTAGGACACTAGTGGGCCTAAGGGATGGGCCGGGGGGTGGGGGGTCCTTGGCAGGAGGATCAAGGAGAGGGTGACTGCCCCTCTCCCATCCCAGGGTTCCTGAGCAAGAATCTGGTTGCTGGGGCTTGGCAGGGGGAATGCAAGCCAGATGGGACAGGGAGCAAAAGAGCAGCTCCTGTTTGGTTGACTTCCAAGGCCCCAGATGGAGCAAGCCGGGCCAGCAGCCTCCGTGGGCGGGGAGGGAGGGGAGCCCAGCCCAGCCCCGGCAGAGGGGGTAGGTATGAAGGAGTCTGCCCCTCCCCGCAGGGCCGGGGAAAATTAGACCCCTCTATTCCACCTTCTTTAGCTCCCTGTGTTCCCAAGATTCTTCCTGAGACTGTTCTGGTTTCCAAGCCTCAGTTTACCCATCTTAGAATGGACGCTAACGGGGCCTCTGTCTCTCGGGCTACTCTGAGCATGACAGTTGCTATCTGGGGCTTTGGGAGCTGGGGACGAATCAGCCTGGGGCCTGTTCTGCCAGGGAAGGTCATTTTGCTGTCTGTCCTGCAAAGAGGAACTGAGCCCTGGCCAAGGGTGGAACTAACCAAGCCCTGTGGCTGGCGAGGAGGAATAGAGGAATCCTCAGTCCAGAGAGAGGAAGGGCGTTCCAGCGTCCGTTTAGCCCAGCTGGGCGGGCTCCAGGGAGAGGAGCTGGCCTTCAGGGTGCCCAGTCTGGACTCAGGGGCTGAGTGGTCTGGGTGCCCTCCAGGCTGCACGCCCCACAGCACCTCAAGCTGTGCTCACAGTGAGGGCCCCAGAATCCCCTGGGAGCCCCATCCAGAGGCCGCAGAGGGCGTGAGTCATTCCTTCCCCTTGGCCCAGGAAGTGACTCACGCCTGTCCTCCCTCCCAGCCCCCAGCCCTCCACCCACCACCCGACTTTGGGTCTCCCTGGACCCTCAGGGGCTGTGGTGTCTCCCTGAATGCCCGGATGAGCAGGGAGAGACCGGGCATCTCCCCCAAGCTCTCCCCACGCCTTCCCCTTCCCCTCTGTGTTGCCAATCACTCTGATTTTTTTCTCTATCTTGCTCTCCATCTCTGTTTCTCTCCGCCCCACCTCTCCATCTGTCTCTCTCTTCCTGAGTTCTCCATCTGTCTCTCTTACCACTGGTTTCAGAAACTTTGCTCCTCTCTCCATCTCCCTGTGCGTCTGCCTCCTTCTCTATTTTCTTTCCCTCTCTGTCTCCTTGTCCATCTTTCTCTGGTGAATGGCAAGGAGCTCCCCATGTCTGGAGTCCCTGCTGATTTGAGGAGAACCCTCAAAGACATGTCCTGGGAGTGGGGCACCCCTGAGCAGCAGGAACAGCAGCGGAGGAGGGCCCGTTTGGCACCACCCCACCATGGTGTCCACAGTGTCTTCCTACACATGGGGCGCCTGGTCCGCAGTGTCACCGCTAGGTCCCAAGCTGGTGGTCCAGGCCGACCAATGTTGTAGGTGTGGTGTGCAGGCAACTGTGTCCTGGAAGCAGGGGTCGATTCGGGTGGGTGGTGGGGTTAATGGAACTCCTGTCCAACCTCTTCATTTCTATATAAGGACACTGAGAGGCAGGTGGACACACCAGGCAGGATTCACATGCCTAGTCCTCACGGGAATGTGTGAGGATGTGGGGTCCATTATCCTAGTTCCCATTCTACAGAAAGGGGACACTGAGGCACTGAGAGAAGAGTGACCTCACCAAAGTCTGGGATTTGAACCAGGGCCGCCTGGCTCCAGTCTGTTTACTGACCTGCTGCCCACAGGTCAGCAGGAACCAAGACCCCCTCTGGGCTTAGGCCCTTGCCCCATCCCTCAGTCCCAAATCCATCCCCAGGTGGCTGGGGACAGAGCCCAAGCCTGGGAAGGGTCCACAGCCTCCTACCCTCAGATGTGTCACCACTGGGGCTCCTTCCTGCTTCGGCGACCCCCGACCTCCCCTCTCTCTGTTTCAGCGCTGTGTGTCTTGCTGACTCTGTTAGAAGCTGGATTCTGGAGCTCGGGTGAGTCAGCTGGGAGTGACATGGTCCACAGCCAGAACTGGGGTAAAGGGTCCTGGGCCCCCACCCCACACCCCTCAGCCCAGACAGAAGCCTGATGCAGGTGGAAAGCCAGGCTAGCCTCTCCCCAGCCCCTCCCTGTCTGGAGGTGACCCTGCCCCGTCCCCAGCCCCTGGCTTCAGCCCTCATCTCTGACCATGATCTCCATCCCCACAGCCTCTGCCCCCACCGCCTGTGCTCGCTGGTGCCCTCTGAACTCCGTATGTGTCAATGCCACTGCCTGTCGCTGCAATCCGGGATTCAGTTCCTCGTCTGGGGAGATCTTCACCAGCCTCTTGGAGAGCTGTGATGGTACAGAGGCTTGGGGGGGTGGGGGCATGCAGAGATGGTGGTGCGAGGCGGTGGGACACAGCCCAATGCCTGTGGGTGGAGCGCATGGCTGGGGCCTCAGCCTTCGCCCTCGGGACTATCACCAAGAACAGAGAAAAAAGAAAGGGAAAGATAAATGTGGAAAATAAGAAACAAACTTTTGGAGAGTGTGCCTCAGTTTGTCCTCCCAGAACAGGAGCAGGGGATGCAAAGCTTCCACCCACCCCCTCTCTCAGCACTCCATACTGTGTCCAAATCCAGGCTGGCAGCCAGAGGGCAGAGAGGAGCAGAGCTGATTGTGTGAGCTTCAGGAATGGCTCGCTCCAGCTTCAGCCCAGCCTCTACAATATAGCCAAAGAGGTTAATTCTTTCCAAAAAGACACTGATTAAGCCTCAGGTCCCATGCTGGGGAGCCAAGATAGGGGATGTGAATCTCTGCTCTGAGGGAACTCATGCTTTTGAGAGGTGACCCTTTATCCTATTAAATTCTAGACATCAATGAGTGTGGACCACCCTCGCCCACGTCCTGTGGAAAATTCGCAGACTGCCAGAACACAGAGGGGAGCTACTTCTGCACGTGCAGCCCAGGATATGCGCTGGCTTCTGGGGCAGCCGCGTTCAGGAATGCAAGTGAGAACACATGTCAAGGTAATGAGCACCCCACACCTTCCAGCTCCTCGTCCACGAGGTTTGGAAACACCAGATCCTTTCCTGCAGCATCTGGCAGCAGGGCCATGGTGACAGGTGCAGCACCCAGGTTCTGAGTCGAGACAACGGGTGCCTGTGCCCACCTCACCAGCACAGAGAGGCAGGGTGACATGAGGGTCAGGAGCACAAACCCTCGCTTTGCCACTGATAGCCGCGCATGTGGCATTAGCCAGGATACTCATTCAGAAATCTCCGTTAACGAGCGAAGTGTAATCATTTTGTGTGCGAACTGTGTAATTTTTTTTGTGCCTGTTTTTTTAAAGAGTCCCTATCATCTTTTTTTATTGAAGTGTCATTGATATACGATCCTGTGTTGGTTTCAGATATACCACACAACAGCTGCCCATATTACTGCCTCCTCGTCCCCTCTAGTGCGGTCACTATCTATCAGCGTAGTGAAATGTTACAGAATTACTCACTGTATTCTCCGCGACCATCCAAGTGACCAACCTATATTGTGACTGCGCATTATTGTGCCCCTTTATTCCCTTCCCCGTCCCCCCCACTCCAGCCCCTCCCCCTTGGTAACCACTAGTCCTTCTCTGTCTGGGAGTCTACTGCTGTTGTTTTTTGTTTTGTTTTTTACTGCTGTTTTGTTCCTTCTGTTTCGCTTTGTTTTTTATTAGAGTCCCTAACTTTAACAGATAAGAACAAAAATTGCTTTCCCTTTTGTTCACAGTGGGACCTTGGGCAAGTAATTTCACCACTCTGTGCCTCAGTTTACCCATCTGTATAAAGGGCACGGCATGGTGCTTACCTCATACAGTTACTGGGAAGGTACATGAGATCACAAAGCACAGAACAGTGATGGCCGTTGGGTTTCCTGATGATAATCATTGTGATATAAAGCACCCTCTCCAGGATGGGTGTCCCTGGGAACCGTGCCCCAAGCTGGGCACCCGGAGAGCAGCTGCCCCAACCCATCCCCTTATCGCAGCACATCCTTTGCCATGTTGGCATGCACTTGCCTGATGACAGCACAGTTCAGGCCCAGGAGGAATGGGGCCTCCACGCATTGTCAGGCCTTGTCCCTTTTCCATGGAGAGCAGGCAGGCAGGGGACGGGGCCTCCGATAACCTCTGGGGGAAGATGGGACCAGCAGTGGGGGGATAGGAGCCATGGCTTGCCGGGAAAGAAGAGAGAGGAGGTGAGCAAAGGGGAGGTGAGGAGGCGGAGCCAGGGTCCAGAGGGCCCTGAGGAGGGCCTAGGCCTGCCCTACTGTGAAGAAGAGGGCCTGCAACCTTGGTCTCAGCCCTCTCCTTCCTCTCTGCTGGTCCACAAGGGTCCCTGTGGGTGGAAGTTGTGCCCCAAATGTGGCCTGGCCAGAGGACAGAGCCTTCCTGTGAACTGGAAAAAAGTCCTTCAACTCCAAATGAACACAGCATGCTGGGGAGTTGAGTTGGCTGGATTTCAGCTGCATTTCAGCCACCACGTGCCTTCTTAGCTGGATACCCTTGCGCAGTGAGCAGCCTGTACAACTGCACATGGTGGTCATGGATCCCACTCAGTGTACCTGGACTGCGGGATGCCTCCCACTCACTGGTGTGAACCCATAGGTGGTGGTTGTGGTTACTGATGTGCCACTGGTTAGACACAAGCCAGAGCTGAGAGAAGGAGACCCAATACAGTGGCTGGGCAGAGACACGGATGCACAAAAGCGAGACCCCTGCAGATGTCAAGGTGATTGATGGGGAGAGAGCAGCCTACTGGTTTGGACCAAGCCCTGCCACCTGAAGATCTAGCTCTGTGACAGGCTCAGCTGGGCCATCTGTGCTGCCCCACCCCCCACCATTCCAGCCTTTGCCACACTGAGGACACATCCACCCCTGTCTTGGCAGCTGGATCACAGGCAGGCACCCAGGTTACTCCCTGGCCTCCTCACCCCACTTTCTATGGGCATCAGAGGATGTCCTGGGCACCTTCCCAGTGGTCTCCCCATCCTCACTGAACACCAAGGCTCAGAACCCTCTGTAGAGGGTCACTTATGGATGTTTGGAGCGTCCCCTCTGCCCACCTGGCATCCTCTTTGCATAAAACAGAAGCGGCAGGTAGCATCAAGACAGTTCACGAGCTCGCAGTGAGGTGTATTCCAGGAAAGTATTTGTCGTCTTTGCCGTCACCAGTGACTGCCCGGATGAGACCAGAACCACACAGGTCATGAGGGACTCAGGGACCTTGTCTGGAAATGTGGGAGGAGGGCAGGCCCACTGTCCCCAGCCAGCCCTGGCCCTAGCGAGCAACCCATCCTGGAGAAGCTGCCTCCTGACCCTCTTCTCGGCCTCTCAGCCTCTGTCCATTTTCCCATGCAAGGCTCTGCCCTGACCTACCCTGTAATTTTGGTTCACGGCTCTGAGAGCAGCTTGGATGACTGGGACATGGAGGACGCTGTGTCAGGCATGGGTAGGGTGGCATCAACTCCCCATACACACTCGGAGAGATGGGTGAACCAAGAGGCTGGACCAGACAACAAAAGGCCGCCATCTGGTGCCACTGCCCCAGGCCTGGTCCTCTCTTGAGGTCCGCCCAGGTCCCACGGGGAACAAGCCCTCTCAGCAACAGAAGGTGGAGGCTGAGCCCTGCTCAGTGGGGCCCACAGGTCTGTGTCCCTGGTCGGAGGCGAAGGGCAGCCACCCTCGCCCATCAGCCCCTGCTCCCCCCTCCAGCCACACAGCCCTCACCCACTGCCAGCCCCACTCCCATGTGGATCCTCGCCACTTCCTGCCAGTACAGGGAAGCCTTCGTGGGGGTCAGAAAAGGCACCTTTGCTGCTCCAAGGCTGCCTGGCTGGACGTCAGACCCCACTGTCCACCACAGCCCGGTGCCTACTGTCTGGGTGGCCCTGGCCTGTCCGGCACCATCCTACCCTCCCTGCCCCTACCCGCAAGCCTCAGCCTGGAAGGGCCTGGCTCAGGGGTGAGTCTTGGTCCACCTCCATGGAGCTGGAGTCTCAGAGTCGGCGCAGATGGGCAAGCACCGTCTGGCCAGGGTCACTGGATTCCAAGAACCCAGGCGAGTCCCTGGGAAGGCAGGACAAAGGCCATCACCGCAAGCCAGGACGGTCCTGCTCGGGAAGACATTTCCCTGCACTTGGTTCCCAGGAAGGCCCCTTTGTTCAAGTGGGCAGGCTGGGACCCGGGTGGCCGTGATGTCCCTGCCCCAGCCGGGAGCTGCCCGGGAAGTCAGAGCTGGCAGATGGGGAGGACTTGGGCCTCTTGTGGCCACATCCAGACAACAGCGTGTCAGGACCACCCCGCTCCCCCACGGGATGCCTCCATGTGAATTAGAAAAGAAGGGCACCCACTCACTGGGAAGGAAACAGAGGGGCCTTCTAGACGCCTCTGCACCAGGAGACATGCTGACCCGCAGCCCTGAAGGCTGCCCGCGGCTGCACGCATCCATCACCCTCTCCTTCCCCTTGCAGACGTGGACGAATGTCAGCTGAAACCCAGGGTCTGCAGAAGCCGCGGAATCTGCATCAACAGCCAGGGCAGCTACTCCTGCCAATGCCCGCCTGGCTTGGAGCTCAGTCCGGAGGACCCGAGGCTGTGCACAGGTACAGGCCCCAGACGACGCTGTGAGGCTGCTCTGGAGCTGGGGAAGGGGCCGAGGCAGATGCGCCCTCCACAGGAGGAGGGAGAAGATCCTCAGGGCCCCGCAGCACCAAGGGCCTGCCAGGCCCTGCCCCGGGATTCGTGGTCTTGGACGGTCCCTCCACAGAACAGGAGGTGGCAGGGCCCTTCCTGGTGAGCATCCCCAGACCTCGCCCCTTGCTCATCTGTCACGTGGGAGCTGAGAGACGAGTCACTTACAGTTCCCAGAAAGGAATGTGTGCCAGAGCTTGAAAGAGAGCAGGCAAGAATCCCTGGAAAGGAAATAATACAACCCCCATGACTCAGTTTCCCCCATGGTTTCCCCACCTGTAAACCCAGTCCCCGCCATGCCCATCTTGCAGGGAGGCCACCTTAAGGTGCTTTGAGGTTGAAGCTGAAGGTCACCAGGTGGTGGCCTGTGCAATAACACGGGGTCCTTGGTGCCGGGCACCGAGGAGTGGGTGCAGTGAGCGGAGGGGAGGCTGACCCTCTGGCTTTGTCCTCAGATGTGAATGAATGTACCTCAGGGCAAAACCCATGCCACGACTCCACCCACTGTTTCAACATCGTTGGGAGCTATGAGTGCCGCTGCCGCCCTGGCTGGAAGCCAGTTCCTGGGTCCCCCCATGGCCCAAACACCACCATCTGCGAAGGTCCAGAGCTCAGATTCTGCACCCCCCAGAGACCCACACTCAAAACATCCGACCACATATTCAATGGCACCCACACAAACCAAGCAGGATGAATGCTGGGGTGCCCTGCCATGCCAGGCTGAGGCTAGTGGGAGAAGATCTAGGGGGTTCTGGAGAAGGACCTGGGGTACCAAGGGGGAGGCTCCTTGGGGACCCCAGGCAGCAGCTGTTACTAATTGGAGCAAAGGTATTTCAGTATTTCACAACCTGTATGTGTGCACAGGGCTCATGTGCTGTGCGGCAGACTCTGCACACTTCCACAACTTTGGCATCTATCACTCAGGGAGGTGGGGCCACCAGATGGCATCACCTCCTGTTAGAGGGGACACTGATACGGGAAAAGGAAGCAGGACTGGAGAGCAAAGAGACCTGACCCCTTTCCTGTGTCCCCAGATATGGACGAGTGCATCGCCGGGCAGCATAAGTGCCACAACTCCACCATCTGTGCCAACACTGTGGGCTCATACACGTGCCACTGCCGCCGAGGCTGGCAGCCCAAACCTGGATTCCAAAACAAGCAAACGAACACCACCTGTGAAGGTAGCTGGCCTGGCCCCAGGCCTCACCCCCAACACACACGCAGATATCACCCCACCTAACGAAGCTCCACTCTGTCTCTGCAGAGATGTCCTTCCCCGCCTGGACCATGCCCTCTGGTATCAAGAGCGAGGTGAGTGGCCCTAGCAGGGACGAAGAGTCAGGAAACCCTTCCATGCATCCTTCTCTGTTCACCAATTTCCCCAACCTCCCCACGACCATCCTCAAGGCCCTCTGATCTCATCTCTCCCTTTTCCAGCGTCTCTCTCGTTTCTTTAAAGAAGTCCAGGATCTCAGCAGAGACTTCACGGTAGCTTTGGCCAAGAACACCATCAAGGTAAGGGCAGGACCCAGGGAATCCCAGGAGAGTGTATGGATGGCCCACAGAGGTGGGGCTGAGATCAGGGTCCCCGGGTCAGCCCTTGTGGTGCAATGAGCCAGCAGCTGTCATCCATGACCCCTAGAAACTCATCGGGTCAGTGGACAAGCTGATGGAAGTCCCTGGGGACATGGAGGCCCTCGTCCTGTCTGATCGGCACCATGCTGCCACTCACCTGCTCTCGGGCCTTGAACAAGTCCTGAGGACCCTGGCCAAGGCCATGCCTGGAGACTCTTTCACCTACCGGTCCCTTTCAGACACAGGTGAGGCCTCATCCTGCCCCAGCCCTGGGCCCCATCCTGCACCTGGAATCCCCAATCGCTGCCCCTCTCCCTCCAGAGCTGTCCCTGATGATAAAGGATCAAGGGAAAGGCAACCTCACCATGGGCCAGAGGCATGCCCGGATGCAGATGGCCTGGGCCATGGCAGCTGCAGCCAATGACTCAGGTAACAGCAGGGATCCGGAAGGGACATGGGGGAGAGAGAAGCAGGAAGTGGCTAGGGGTGAGATTCAGAGTATGTAACACCTGGAAATGGATGGCTCACCAGGGACTCCAGGCATGGCAGTGGCCTGGCGAGCCTGGATGAGCGATCTGAGAGGGGAGGACAGGGTGTAGGAAGAGAGAGGGCAGGAGAAGGCAGCCACCATGTCGTCCCACAGACCCCACGGTGGTGGGCATCCTCTCCAGCCAGAACATGCAGAAATTGCTGGCCAACGCCTCCTTGGAGCTAGACCCCAAGAAGCAAGTCCAGCTGGAGGAGACCCACCAGAGTCCCGTCCATGGTGCCCAGCTCAGGCTCCTCTCTGCTGTCAACTCGGTCTTTCTGAGCAACACAAACACAAGCAAACTCAACTCACCCATCACCTTCGCCTTCTCCCACCTTGTGAGTCCTCGGGTGGGGCAGGGGCCTCAGCCCTATGGCTCACCCCACAGCCAAGGTCACAGCGGCCCCTCTGCAGCCTTCATTTCCCTACCTGTGCCCACTTTGCTCCCTCCTTGAAGGCACCTTAGGGCCTTTGCATTTGCTGTGCCCTCTGCCTGGGACACATTTCCTTCAGGTGACACAATCCTTTCACCTGTCTCCAGTCTTTCTTCAAATGTCACCTTCTCTGTCAGGCCTTTCCTGACCTCCTTATTTAAAGTTACAATCTGTAAACACTCCCCCACTGCATGCCAGCCCTAAAAGGCGGGAACTTGTCTCTGCCCTGTGCACTGCTGTGTCCCCCAGCCTGGCACACAGTAAGGTATTCAGTAAATACTTGTGAAAAGCAGCCCTCCTGGGGTTCTCATCTGACTAATATGGGTTCCAGGCTAACCTCTCTGATCACCACCCACTCCCCAGCCTCACCTACAGCAAGAGACACTGGGGCCACGGCAGGAGCTGATCTGTGCCTTCTGGAAGAGTAACAACGACAGAGGCGGCCACTGGGCCACCACGGGCTGCCAGACACTTGGCACCCAGAACGGCAGCACCACCTGCCAGTGCAGTCATCTAAGCAGCTTTGCCATCCTCATGGCACACTACAATGTGCAGGTGAGCCACCCTGGCGCTCCCCTCAGGAGCCCACAGGTGGCATGGTTGGCTTAAAAGAGACAGTCAGATGGTTTTCCATAGTGTGACCCAACTTGTTCTGTAGCTGCCAACCTAGGTGGATCCTGCCACACACCCCAGCCCTTCCCTGGTACCCCCAGGCCTCCCCGTGATCCAGCAACTAAAGAGTGTGGCTTGCCACTGAAGGTGCTGCTCCCCTAAGTGCCCCTCTGGCTGCGCACCTCCAACCAGTTGTTAAATACTGTGAAAAGCTCCTGAGGGAGCCCAGCTTTCTGTATGTGGCCACAGATAAGTTGGGCCATGTGGATAACTGGAACAGGCCAGGTGCAGTAGGGGAGACAAAAGTGTGGGGTTTCCATGAGCTGATATGTGTGGCCAGGTGTAGGAGGGGTGGGAGATGGGACCATCTCTGGAGAGCAGTCTGAGCATCTAGTGCAGAGGCCCATCAGGAGGACCCCTGGAGCCCTGCTGCGTCTATTGGTGTACGTTTTGGGGGGTTATTTAGGATGAGAGCCATAGCGTATAGATCAGATGTTGAAGGCAGAGGAGGTGCAGGGGTGAGCTGCCTGACCAGAGTCCTGCAGGCCAGGTCCCTAGTGGATCAGGGAGGCCGACGGGTCATGGAGCCCCACCCACCCCATCCCGCATCCAGGACCCGAAGCTGGCCCTGATCACCAAGGTAGGACTGGCGCTGTCGCTGGTGTGCCTGCTGCTGTGTATTCTCACCTTCCTGCTGGTACGGCCCATCCAGGGCTCACGCACCACCGTGCACCTGCACCTCTGCATCTGCCTCTTCGTGGGCTCTGCCATCTTCCTGGCGGGCATCGAGAACGAAGGCGGTCAGGTGAGACCCTAGCCCTTGGGGAGGGGTCCCTCTGTCACCTGAGCGCCGCGCCACCGAGGTCCAGGGGAGCGACGGTCCCGCCCACTCCGGGGACTCAAGGGCGGCCTATAGCTTCGCCCCCCCGCACGGTCGGTCGCGCCGCGTGGCCCCGCCCCGCGCCAACGTTCACCCGCCCCCGCCCATCAGGTGGGGCTGCGGTGCCGCCTGGTGGCCGGGCTGCTGCACTATTGCTTCCTGGCCGCCTTTTGCTGGATGAGCCTGGAGGGCGTGGAGCTCTACTTCCTCGTGGTGCGCGTGTTCCAGGGCCAAGGCCCGAGCAAGCTCTGGCTCTTCCTCATCGGCTACGGCGTGCCCCTGCTCATCGTGGCTGTCTCCGCGGCCGTCAACAGCCAGGGCTACGGCCGCGTCCTCTAGTGAGTGCCTGGTGGAGGGGCGACGGCGGGGCGGGGGAGGGCCGGGGGGCGGCACCGCGCCCAGTGCCGGGATAGCCTCCCGGACACCGGGCGCTGACAGGCACGCCGCCGTTCCTCCCAGCTGCTGGTTGGACCCAGACCGTGGCTTCCTCTGGAGCTTCCTGGGACCTGTGACCTTCATCGTTTTGGTAGGTGCCCCACCTGATCCCTTCAAAGCCTGAGGGGCATGGCCCCTCATTGAGCCCCACGAAACCACCTCTCACCCCAATTAGTTCCAAGGACAACCCTAATCTGAATTCTGTGCACTCGCCCCCCACCGCAGTGCAATGCTGTCATCTTTGTGACAACTGTCTGGAAGCTTACTCAGAAGTTCTCTGAGATCAACCCAGACATGAAGAAATTAAAGAAGGCCAGGTGAGAGCAGGGGCAGGGGGCAGGCAGGGAGGGGAGGAGTGGGCGAGGCAGGTACCCTCGCCACAGCCACCCTCTTCCTGCAGGGTGCTGACCATCACCGCCATCGCCCAGCTCTTTGTGCTGGGCTGCACCTGGGTCTTCGGCCTGTTCCTCTTTGACCCGCACAGCTGGGTACTGTCCTACACCTTCACCATCCTCAACTGCCTGCAGGGCCTCTTCCTCTTCGTGCTACATTGCCTGCTCAACAAGAAGGTGGGCTGTGGGCCAGTGTAGTGTTTTGCTGGTGGGGGAAGGGGGCTGCCCCTCCCTGACCTGGCACCGGTGCCCTGCAGGTAAGGGAGGAATACTGGAAGTGGGCCTCCAGGGTCACCGGGAACAAGTATTCAGAGTTTGCCACATCCACATCTGGCACCAGTCACCAGACTCGGGTAAGGGCCATGCCTGGGGTGGGGATGTAGGGCTAAGAGACACCCTGGGTCTGTGCTCAGTTCTCATGGAGCCCTTTCCTCTCCAGACCCTGAGGCCCTCAGAGTCTGGCATGTAACGGAGAGGTTCTGGCCATGCTGGCAGCACCCATGGCCTCTGCAGCTTTTGCACGTGCTGAAGACTGTCTCCTCTCCCACCACTCTGCTCCTTCTGCCTAACTGCCTCAGCGGTGTGCGAGACGGAGAGAGGGTGACAGCTACGGCCTGGTACTGACCCAGGACGCTGAGCCGGGGTGGAGTTGGACCTGCTGGGCCTGCTTCTGGCTGCCTCTCGGTTCCACCCAAGCTGGGACCCAGGGTGGAGGAGAAGCTGGCCTGGGGCTGAGCCCCTTGCCCTGGTACACGAGGCCTGGACAGACTAAGGGCTTATTGCTCACTTGGACCAATTTCCACATTAAGCTAAGACTGAGGTCTGGGGTGGGCGGAGGACAGAGCCCCTCCAAGTCCCACACTGCCTGTGGCTCATGGTACAGAGGCCTCTCTGCCCTGGGGACAGAGGGTTCTCACTGTTTTGATGGGTGTGGATGTTGTGTAATGTTTTTTTATCTGTATAAACCTTTCGATGTTGACACTTAAAATTAAATATCACACTGATACAGAAGGTGGCTAGCTGGCTGGGGGCTCACTGGTCATTCCCCTTGTGTCTGTGAAATGCCGAAGGGCAACTAAGAAACAGGTGGGATGGGAGCCAGGCTTCCATAACAAACATTTATTCTTACATAAATCTACAGCTTTTGAACAATAAAAAGGTCCACTGTTGCCTAGAAAACTTGGAAGCAGCACTTAAGAGGCAGGGCAGCTCCAGGCGGCCAGGCACATGGTTACCGGCTCTGTTCAACTGTTGAAAGACACACAGAGAGGCCAGTGAGCAGGGAGGGTGGGCATGGGTGCGGACTCCCTGGCCCCCCAGCCCAGCCCCAGCCGCTTACTGTAGGTGGAAATGTCGATTTCCTCCGGAAGTTCTGCCACATTCACTTCAAACCGGTCCTGAACATCATTGAGGATTTTGGCATCATTTTCATCAGACACAAAAGTGATGGCCAGGCCCTTAGTGCCAAAGCGCCCTGCACGGGCCACCTACAGGCAGACAAGAGCAGGGGTCAGGCCACAGACATAGCCTGGGGACCTCAGAGCAAGCAGAGCCAGGTCCCCACCCACCCCACATCTGTGGGGCCACTCACCCGGTGAAGGTAGGTGTCCGAGTCCTCAGGCATGTCATAGTTGAAAACAATGTTGACTCGCTCGATGTCCATCCCTCGGCCAAACAGATTTGTGGCTACCAGCATCCGCTGCTGGAAGTCCTTGAACTGCTGGTAGCATGACAGACTGGGTGCAGGAGGGACAAGAGGTGGCTGTCAGACACAGGGCTCCTGGGCGGTGGTCCCCATGAGGGGCCGGCCTTGCCTGCCGGGGCAGCGGACACTCACCGCTCCTCCTGGGCCATGCCCCTGTGGATGGCGATAGCCGGGAAGTTCTGCTCCACTAGGAGCTGGGCCAGGGCCATGCAACGCTGCACAGACTTCACAAAGATCAGCACCTGCCAGGCAGGGGAAGGGGATGAGCAGCAGTCAGGACCGGAGTCCCCACCTCCCGAAGTCCCAGAACCCAAGACGGGCACCAGCAGGAAGTGAGACCTGGTTGAACTCCAGAACATCCAAGAGGTCAAAGAGCTTGCGGTTCTTCTCGCTGTCTTTGAGCTTGACGTAGTACTGCTGCAGGCCATGTAGAGTGAGCTTGGTCTCATCATCCACAAACACCTCCAGGGGCTGTGCAGGAAGGGGAGCAGGAAGGAGTGGCCAAGGCTTACTTCTGGACACCCCACCAGAGCCTTCCAGGGGGTGACTCCATGCTGCAATGCTTCCCAGAGGGCCTGCCATACCCCAGAAATGCCTCTCCTGACAAGTGGATCTAAGTTCTGACTAGCTCAGGTGCAGACAAGACGGAAGGGAGGAGGGCTCTGCAGCCTCCCAGCATCCTTGTCATGGAGCAGCAGCTACTCAGGACCTCGGCCCAGGAGGGCAAGTGGACGCACTGAGGTCTTGGCCGCATCCCATCCTACTCACGTCTTGCATGAACTTCCTGCAGACAGGCCGGATATCCTTGCTCAGTGTGGCACTGAACATCATGCACTGCTTCTCATGAGGTGTCAGGTGGAAGATAGCCTGCACGTCCTGCCGCATATCTGGGATGGGAAGGCAAGACACAGACAGGCTTGAGCGCCTGCCAGAACACAGCCCCCACCCGAGACCAGCCCCAGCCCCTCCCAACCTGTGCCAGGGAGCCATATGACAAGGGCAGTGTGAGCCAGAGTGGAGGGAGGGGTGAGTCCCAGGTGCCTGAGGGGCTGGACTGGGGGTGAGCACAGGCGTGGGAGGGGCTGCAATCCACTTACACGCTGCCAGCGTGGAGCAGCCGTGCCAGCACGCCTCGAGCCATGCTTCAGGGAGGGGAGCCTGAGGCAGAGACAGCTGCTGGGGTGAGAGCTGCAGCCGCCTCCCGGGACACAAGCCCCTTCTCCCTCGAGCCCTGTCAGGGCTCAATGAGGGCAGGCAGGGCCTAGAGCTAACCCAACAAATAGGCGGCAAGGCCACGGTGGTCAAGGGTTAGCATCTGCACATGCCCGGACACAACTCATTTGGGCCCTGTGGTACCTGCTTGGGCTCAAGAGCAGGTCACCCTGCCAATGTTTTAACAGCCCCTAAAATTTGTTTACAGGAGATCTATGTGCTGGCCACCCACATAACCCCACTGTACAGAAACTGTAAACCACCTGCCGTGTCCAGGCCCACCTGGCTCTGGGGTGGGGGTGCTGCAATGGGTAGGAGAGGGAACAGCTGGGTGGGCCTCCGGCAGCCCCAGTCACCATGAGGACACTCACCCAGCTGCTCCAGCATCTTGTCACACTCGTCCAGCACAAAGTGCTTCACATTCTTCAGGCTGAGGCTCCTGTTCCGCCCAAGTGCCAGGATCCGGCCTGGTGTGCCCACCACAACGTGGGGACAGTTCTTCTTCAACACCTCTTCATCCTTCTTGATGGAGAGACCCCCGAAGAATACAGACACCTACGGGAATAGAGAGGAAGCTGTTTTTATCCATCCAGGGGCTGAAGGCTTATACACCACTTCACACTTACGGCCCCTAGCCGGGGCTCCAAACCCCCAGCACCGCAGCCTGGCGCCGGCAAAGGCCTCAGAGCCTCGCCATGGCTCAGTGAAGAGCAGCCCCAGGGCTGCACCGGGCACAGGTCTCTGGGGACCATGCATAATTCATCAGGCTTTCAAGGAGCACAAAGTACCACAAACCTCAAAAGCGGCCACTGCAGCCAAGCTTGGTAAACACTGGGCGGGCCAGAACCGAGGCTGGCGGGACTGCAGAGGGCCACGGGGGGCCTGGCTGAGGGGGCTCACCTTGACGCTGGGCATGTACTTGGAGAAGCGCTCATACTCCTTGCTGATCTGGAAGGCCAGCTCCCTTGTGTGGCATATGACGAGGACTGTCACCTGTAGGCAGGCGGGAAGAGCACTCAGGGCAGCATCCGAGTCCTCCTCAGCTAGAGCCCTGCTAGCACTCTCCCTGGGCGGCCCGTGCCCATCAGGCCCCACCAAGCGGCTCCCCGCATGTCCAGCCACCGGAAGGCCCAGTCCACATGCCTGCACCTCCTCACCGCCCTTCATCTGCTGCTCATGCCCTAGGTCCTCCCATGGGTACTGGCTCGGACCCACAGGAGGCCAGGTAACTGTCCCACCTAGCCCAGCTGGTGACAGGCCCCACGCTAACAGCTTGCTGAGTCTCTGCTCCCTGCCCGGCTCTCAGGAGGAGAGCTGATCCTGCCCTCAGGCCCTCAGTGCCAAGCACTGCAGCTCACAGCGGCCTCTCATTACACTGTCTCCTTCACTGTCTACTCAAGAAAATGAGGGCTCACGCGCCCACATGCAGCCCAAGGATGTGCACCACAGCGGGACAAAGACAGAACACCGGAAGTCCCCTCGATTTTTTTCCAAGATAGTGGATACAACGTTCGTTTTGGGAGAAGACAGCCAGAGCCTGGCAGCAGCAGCATTGATAACAAAACAGTGCTTAGCACAACCCTGCCTCTGGGCAATCCAAATACACGACCAAGTAACAGCCGTATCTCTGAAGAACAAAACACAGGCACTTTTCATTCTCTTGCCTTATCCTTGGGGAGATTTTATTATAACAGTACCGTACTTAAGTTTTTAAAAGTCCACAAAGAGAATCTGGGAACACCGCCTCAGGGAGCTGAGCCGGAGGGATGGGGGTGGGGGTGCACACCCACCTGTCCATTGATAGGCTCGATCTGCTGCAGGGTGGCCAGCACAAACACCGCTGTCTTGCCCATCCCAGACTTGGCCTGGCACAGGATGTCCATGCCCAGGATGGCCTGGGGAATGCACTCGTGCTGAACTGAGGGAGAATGCACGCCTGAGTCACGGGACCCCGATGCTCCCTGCTGGGCTCCTCAGCAGAGGGCTCAGGGGACCACGGTGGGCAGCCTGGGGGACCAGGGAAGCATACCCTCAGATGGGTGCTCAAAACCACAGTCCACGATGGCCCTCAGAAGCTCTGGCCTCAGCAGAAAGTCCCGGAAGCCAGAGCTGTGGATGGAAACGTAGGAACCCTTGACGTCTTTCTTGGGGGGAATTGGAGAGCTCTCTGGAGGGGCCTGGGGCTCTTCGTCTTCCTCATAATCCAGAAGTTCGCTCTCCACATCCTGTTCTGCCATGACACTGAGGGCACGGAGGGCAAGGCAAATGAGAAAAGGGGAACCCGCCCACCTGCCGCCTGCCAGGGAAAGGCGGAGGATGCACGCACAGCCTGCGGGCTGCTGACACAGGGCTACGAAGGGTGAAGTGCTGGGGGTCCTTGAGGTGGCAAAGAAAGCCACCCAGCTGAGGAAGCTAGGCTGGGACCATCCTCTAGGCCACCTGTCATGCCCCCCACAATGACTCCTGCAGAGGACCATCAGCTCCTCCGTGCAGCCCTTCCCAGCTCCGCTGTATGGCCACATCTCCACCTTCCCTTAAGCCACCCCAGCTCTCCGTCTCCCCACTCCCATATGTGCACACGTACCTCCAGCTCCAGGCCCTCCCCTGCTCTGAGGGAAACCCGGACTCCTCCTCCTCATTGGCCCAGCCTGTCTGCCTCAAGCCACACCACCCCTTTCAAACCACCCCCGGTGTGTCTGGCTGCTCACTCACTGAGCCAGCTCTCAGCTCTTGCAGCCCACTGCCACCACCACCACGACGCCCTGCTCCCAGGTCTTCGCACAAATGCCTCCTCAGCACTCTGGTCTCAGCTCTAATGAATGGCCTCACACCAAGGAGTCTAAAGGAGCCCTTTCCCTGTTACTCCCCAGGGAACCCACCAGGCCTACATGGGTAGGATGCCTGAGACCTGGCGATGTAGCTGCCAGGATGCTGGAGAGATCTCACATTGTGAGTGAACAGTGTCTGCCCAGCCCGGGCTCCTCTGCTATTTGTGGTCTGCACAGGGGAATAATTAAGTACTCTCATGAAAAGGCCTCCCTGTGGGCCCGGGCCAATAAGAATGAAGCCGAGATAGTAAATGGAATTAATACAAAGCCTGCTCAACTCCTGGCTTTATTTAATCCAATACATAAAGAGCTCTTCCAGGTGTAGGCTAGGGGGGATGCAAGGTGAGAATACTGTCCTGTGTCCTCCCTGTCCCACCCAGCCTCGGTCTGGGAGTACAGGTGCTGAATCAGCCTCTCTTCCTGAGATGGATGCAGAGGGTACCGGGCCAGTTTCTGGCCGCCCCATCACTCATTCTCTGCACCAGGACCAGGGCTTTACCCACCCCCATGCTGAGGCCTCTCTCAAATTTGCATGTGTCAATCAGATGATTTCCCTCTACTCCAGCCTCAGTTACCCAGCTGGAAGTTGAACTCAAAATGCCCAAAGCAAAACCCTCATTTCTCCCCACAGACTTCCTTCCCCCATCTCAGAAGAGGTGAATTTCATTTCCTCAATGGCTCTGTCTCTTTGTGTCTCTGTCATGGTCCAATCGACCAACAAATTCCACAAGGATCAGGCCACTCTCCCCACTGCTACTTCACTGGTCCCAAGCTACCCTCACCTTTCTTTTTTAAAGTTAGAATAGTTTTATTGAAAGATTCACATGCTATATATACCATTTGCTACTTAAAATGTACAATCACTCAATGGTTTCCAGTATATAGTCATAGATGTGCTCAATCATTAGCATGATTTCAGAACACTTCATCACCTCCAGACTGAATCCTTTAGCTATCCTCCTCCTTCCTCACCCCAAACCCCTTTGGCAACCACTAATCTATTTTCTTTTCTAAGAATTTGCCCTTTGGGGACAGTTCACATAACAGAGTCATACAACCCATGACCACGTGTCTGGTTTCTTTAACTCAGTATAACATTTTCAAGGGTCATCCACCTTGCACAGTACCTCATTCCTTTCTGTGGCTGCACAATATTCTGTCGTGAGCGTGTACCACAGTTAGTTTACCCAGTGTCAGTCAGAGGGCACATCTGGCAACGTCTTCTGCCTGGATTATGCCAAGTCTCCTCACTGGTCTCCCTAGTCTCCATTCCAACCCCCTGTCCGTCTGCTCTCCCCGCAGTGGCCAGGAATCACTACTCTGCTCAAAACCTCCAGAGGCTACTGCTGTGCTCAGAATAAAACTCAAGACCGCACCACAGCTTACCAGGCCCTTGTAAAAACCTGATACCTCTATGCTCATACCTCATCATCCTCACTCACTGGCTGCCGTCCTCAGTACCTTTGCACATGCTATTCCTGCTGCCCCCAAGAGTCAGAAATCCCCCTTCTTTAAGGCCTCTGTTGCTGCAGAAGGGCATTTCCTGCAGGCCCCAGGTAAAATATATGCCGCCCTGCCCCCCAAGTCATGCCAGCCCCAGAGCCTGAAACTCAGTCTAGCACACATCAGGTAAGCACTAAACAGGAAAGGTGGAATGAATGGAACTAGAGTCAGGGCTTCAAGGCAGTTCAGGGGCAAAAGTAAGCACTTATCCTTATCTGATTCTTGAAACAAGCAATCAGATACCAGCCCTGAGGATTCAGACTGTCAAAAACAGGAAAGGGTCATTTCCCAGGCAGCAGAGAACAGGAGCAAGGAAAGGCCAGTTCTAAAAGTTCCAGACCCTTTTGGTCAATGGAGAGTATGGAGAATCACTGGCTGACTTGTTGGCTGGCTAGAAAAAGCAGAAAACAAAGCTGGGAGGCTGGTCAGGTCCAGGGCATTCATGTTTAATTTGTTAAGCAATAAGGAATGCTGATTAGGTTTTTGAGCTAGTGACTCAATCAGGACTTGCTCAACAGCAATTGACTTGGAGTGGAAGATAGAGGAATGAGACCAGCGGCAGAAAAACCAGCTACCAAATGAGAGAGAATCAATCAGGGCAAGGGCGTTAAGCAGGTAAGAGGGTGGAACACCCCACAGGGTAGGGCCGTCCCCTGGGTCATAGATACCTGGGCAGAGAAGAGCCAGAGCCATATACTCTGAGCTTCAAATCTGGGTGACCAAGAGGAGATGGTGTATTTCAAAGAAATGAGTGATCAAATGAAGCCGTTTTGTTTTGATGGGGACAGATGGAGTGTGAGGCACAAAACTTTCTAGGCAATGACTACAAAGGATCTTCAGCTCCAAAGATCAATAGAGGACCTTAATGCGGTTTGAATCGCCCAGGGCGGTGGCGGGGATGGAACTCCAGGATCCAATCAACTCGAAAGCCGACACGGGATAAGCGACAACTGAGACATGCCCACAGGTACCCATTCACTCTGAAGGCCCCCAGAGAGGATTTCCACCTAGGCGTTTGTTCCCGACCGGGACATCCTCTTGGCCATAAATCTCTGGAACCAGGAATCCCTTAATTACACAACAAGAACACAGTATACTGAGGGAAGGGGAAGTCCCTGGGACTCGAGAGAGGGCCGTCACGTCCACCAACACCGGCTTCTTCCACCGCAGACCCAAACCCCGGCGTCGACTCCCCGGGCCTCTCCCCACGGGGCAGCCTTGGGTCTCCAAGAACAGGCAGGTTCTCTCATCAAGCCGGGGCCCAACCGCCGACCGCAATGACAGCCCCTCCCGGAAGCTGAACCCGGGTCCAGGGCGCCAACGGTCAGTCCGCCCCTTGCGCTTGCGCATGCGCTCCGGTGCCCAAAGGCCGCCCCCGCGGGCGCCGGACGCCCCAACCGCCCCGCCCCCCCTTGTCTCGAGCTCCCACCTCCTCCTTTCCTCAACCCCAAGCGTCTCCCCTAGCCCGCTCGCCTTCAAGTCCGGCGTCTCCGCACCGCTGCCCCGAGCTCTGGGCCCGCCGCTCACCTGGCTTACCGTTCGCCTCCGCGTGCTCCAAGGAAGGCAGCTCGACTCCAGTTACCGGTCGCGCGCTCCAACAAGGGCGGTCATGCTTCCTGCCTCCTGCGTCCAACTGCGGCTCCGCTCACTGGGCCGCTGGCTTTTCACTCAAGAGAGGCCTAAGCGATGATTGGATGCTCTTGGAGGCGCCTGGATGCTATTTGTCGAGCGAGGAAAGAGGAGGTGCCTCCTGCCTCTGGTTCATTGGTCAATCTAAAACTAGGCGGGCTGAGCCTGACGCGAGCCTGCGCGCTGTCACATGATGGGGATTTTTGCCCTCGGAGGACGCTGCTGTATTTACTACTGGTAAACGAAGCCGCAGTGATTAGCCTGCTGGACCCGGAATTCAGGGCTTCCGGAGTGGGCATCAGTCTGCGCGTGCTCCTAGTCTTCCACAGTGGAGTTTCTGAAAGGGTCCTGAGAATTGGGAGCTTGGAATGACTCCAGCGTGGAGAGAACGTTTTGCACCCACGTGGGGGAGGAGCCCCTAAGGGCGAGGGAGTGAGAAAAACAGTCATAAGCAGCAGTTGCCGTTTGCTGAGAGTCATATCCTAAATCAGACACTGGCTAGTGGTCATCCGGTTCAGGCCACAAAACCAAAACCAGGATGTTTTCATCATAAAACTTTAAAAAATTTTTACTCTTCGCTCGTATTAAATTTCCCCAACCTTCCCCTCCCACACACACATCCTCCTCCCTTGAAGTTTATAGTAAAAGGGGCAAGTCCTGTGAGTTTGACAATTGACACCTAAATGACAATTGTCCAGCGAAGATAAGCCTGCTACCATATTCCAGTCTCCCTAAGTCCCTGACACAAACCTTCCTCCACAGTTTCCCAAGAAGGTTCTAGCATTTCCATTTCATTTAGTGTAAGTTATCCATGTTCTCTAGATGACAAATTCAGAGCTGAAGTCACCAGAGGTATACTTCAGCCCAAAAATCCCACCAAAGAGAAACCTGTCAACCCAGAGGGAGGTTTTACATAATATAAAGTAGATATTGTATGTAATAATTACACCATAGCATGGCACTTCCTGTGTGCCCAGAAGGGCCAGGATGAAGGCAAGGCACACCCAAAAACTCAGTCATCAAGATAAACAATATTTTAATGTACTATTTTAACAGTGCAGTGAAGCCAAGCCATACTGGCACCAGAGGCAAAAGGAAAAGATCAGGATTGCTGATCCTGTTTTTATTTGAATTTTTTGCATTAATTTTCTTTTTTTTTTTAAGTATTGCATCAGAACTGCCTATCTTTAGTTTTTGGTGCGTGCTTAAGTTTTGTGCATGAGTCAACTGCATTACCCTCCCCACCCTGGTGCTCATCCTTGTTCTGAGAAATACACTGACAGATCCATTCTCCACTTGGAGCAGATGAGGTGTATGTATTAGTATATCCATTGCCAGGTAGGTGACCTGAGGTCCAGAGAGGATTAATCCCAGTTCCAAGGTCACAGAGCCAGCAGGGATTCAAACCCTGTCCATCTCTCTCCATTAGACTTCTGAAGGTGGAGATAGATGCTGAAGCCAGATAATTTGGAAGCCTGGGGAAAACCAGTCCCAGAGGAAAGGGGTTGGCCCAGGACAGCAGGTGGGAGGCAAGCTTGAAGTAATTAGATTATCTGAGATGAGTTAGGGAGGAGGCAGCCAAATCCAGTTGAGTTCAACTGAGCTGAAAATCAATAAAAAGGAGTCAGGAGGCCCGCAGGGAGAACTGTCATTCCCTATCACTCCTTGTCAGTCCTTTACATTCCCAACAGGGAGAAGTCCATACCTTCCTATGCCAGCAGGAGGAAGAAAGGTTTTCTCCCTGCCCAGACACAGCCCAGCCAATGAGAAGCTATCACAATTTAACCAGTGAAAAGCCACAATGCTTAGAACTCCTAGTTTCCTCCAATGGACTCTTTTTTATAGCAGCCTTTCCCAATTTCCCTCTTTTCTCTTTGAGAGGTCCTCTCTCTTCTCTAGATTCACCTGTTCTGCCATAAGCTACTTGTAGTGAGTTGCAAGTCCATGCTATCTCCAAATAAACCCATTTTGTTGGCAAAATAACTGACAGTTTAATTTTTAAGGTTAACAGAAATCTGAAAATACAGGAAAACACCCCAGAACACCCACCATCTGTGCAGCGAGGGGAAGCTTCTACTCCTCAAAACAAAACCAGTTTTAAATCCAGAAAAGATCAGAGCCTCCTAATGTGTATCCACCACCCAAGATGAACAAACATTAACATTTGTTAAATTGGGTGATTAACTTAAGAATTATTTTAAGTTATTAAAGATTTTAAGACACATCATCAAAAAAGGCTAAAATGACAACTAAGAGTGCCAAAGGCTGGGGAAGCTTCGGAACAACCAGAACTCTCATCCACTGCTGATGTGTTTGTAAAAGGGGGACACCACTTTAGAAAATGATTGATTTGGCAGTTTGTGATAATGTTAACCAGGAGTTCTCCACCTTGGCACTCCTGACATTTGTGCTGGATCATTCTTCGTGGTGGGGCCATCCTGTTCATCACAAGATGTTGAACAGCATTTCTGGTCTCACCCAGTAGATGCCATCATGTAACACCTACTCTGCCAACCCTTCCAGCTGTAACAACCAAAAATATCTCCACACATTGCTAATGTCCCCTCTGGGGGAGAGGGCAAAATCACCCTAGTTGAGACCCATTGGGTTCAACAGGCACCTGGGTTGTGACTAAACAATCCTTGTAGGCGTAGATCTAACAGTTCGTGAAACACTTTTGCCCACAAAAAAAAGAAAATGAGCAATGAACGTTGTTTATACATAATGGACCCAAGCTGGAAACAACCTAAATGCCCATCAACGTGTTAGTGGGTAAAGAAGCTGTGGTCCATCCACACCAGGGGATACTAGAAATAAAAGGAATGCGGTATTGATACACACAGCATTATGGATGACTCCCAAAAACATCATATTCTTTGTGACCATACTAAAACCCCCTAGACTGTACCCTTAAAAAGGGTGAATCTTACAGTGTATAAATATTTTTTCAATAGAAAACAAAGCAAAATGTGTTAAGTGAGAGAATCCAGATATGAAGAATCTGTACATCAAAAAGGTCATAAAATGAGTCCATGTGGTGTGAAGTTCAAGAACAGGCAAAATTTATCTGTGGTGATAGAATCTACATGAGGAGGTTGCCTGGGAAAGGAAATAAAACTTACACAGCTGGTGAATGGATGTGGGGTGTGACCACCAGGATATACACACATATAAAAATCCAGAGTGGCACACCCGAAGATCTGCATACTTCCCCATATGTAAGTTACCCCAATCAAAATAATTAATCATTAAAAATAAAAGAAATAACATAATAGTTGAAATAGAAGTCATCTGTGGTCACCACACCAACTCCATTTCCCTCTCCAACTACAGAAACATCTTAAAACTGATGATGAACAATTCCTGCACCCCTATTCTGTGCTTTACAATTCATTTAAGCTACCCGAGGCAGGCAGCACTGAAATCATCCCCTTCTACAGACGAAGAAACCGAGGCACAGAGCAGGGGAGTGACTGGCCCACTTCCTGTTAGTGTGTTACTGTTGGTGGTGTCAGGCTTTGAACTCAGGTAGCCTCACCAGCCTCAGCCAGGATGCCAGGCACATTACAAAATCACTAACTACTCCCTGTAGGGCCACAAACTAGATACATAGTTTCACCTTCTGTTTTTAGTAATTAAACAGTATCAAATCATCATTTTTTCCTACTTGCTTTTTTATGCCCTTTCAAGGGAAGTTTTTGAGCTTAGCCTTGTGGATACATTTAATTCTTCTAGTGCCAGACAAATCTACTCCCATTTCTTTCTCTGGCCCCTGCTGGTGGAGACTTGGTTTGCAAAGGGCCTATCTTTGGTGAAACAATTCTCACTCAGTTTCTCCCCTGCTAAGAATCCATCAGTGGTTCCCACAGTCCTCAGGGTCAAGCCTGAATGCCGGGGAGGTGCTGGAGCCTCCCCCAACTCCATCTGCAACATCTGCAGTCTGCCTCCTATTCCAGGTTCATCAGTACTAGAAACTAATGATTGCTTATTTGTTCAATAATTTCATCTGGCAGCTATTTATCAAGCACCTTCTTATGTGCTAGATCCTGGTTTACAAGCTGGAGACCCAGCAGCAAAAAACACAAAGATCCCTGCCCTCAGGGAGCTGACACTTTCCTGGTTGAGACAGACAAGAAAAAAAACAGAGTAAAACTTATGGGAAAATTCAAGCTATATTGTGGATAGAGTTTGGTAAGTACAAAGTAGAGCCTGTTTTAGGTGGAGACACAGTCAGGTGAGACTTATCTGAGGAGACATTTGAGCAAAGATGGAAATGAAGTGAGAAAGAGAGAATGCCAAGATGAGAAGAAAAGCATCTCAGGCAAAGGCAACAGACAGTGCAAAGGCCCTGAGGTAGGAATAGGCATATTTGAGGAGCAATGAGGAGGCCATGTGGCCAGAGTGAAGTGAGTGAGGGGAGGGGTGTGGGAGATGAAGGCAGAGGAATCAGGACAGGCCAAGTTCTCCCTCATCCACCACTAGGGCTTTTCCTATGCTGTCCTTTCCACCAAGACACCCTTTTCCTCTTTACCTACTTTTCAATTTCCCAATTTGCCCTTTACTAATCCTTCTGCCTTCTCCACAGTGGGGCACCTGCCTCCGTAAGGCATCCACAGTCCCCTTTCTCCTGACACCTCACATTGTGTTCACTTAGTCGTTCCACAAACATTGAATGAGCATAGGCTAGATGCTAGGTAATTTCAGAGAGGAGTGATATTTAAAATGAATAAAACAGGGCCGTATTTAAAATAAATATGACAGGGCATAGAGGTGCTCTGGGAAGGTCTCTCAAGGAGATGACATTTAAACAGTGATCAGAAGAGGCCAGCCTTGGGGAGATGCAATGGAAGGGCATTCCAGACTCGGAACAGCCAGTGCAAAGGCCCTGAAGTTGGAAGCAAGGTGAGAATATCTGAGTAACAGCAAGAAGGCCCGTGTTGCTGGGTGAGGGTGAGGTGAGAGGAGAGGGATGCTGCTGGATAGCCTTGTAGACCTGGTGAAGGGTGGATATTTATTCTAAGAGCTCCAGAGACCCAGGAACAGGTTT